ACTGTCGTCCAGACTTTTCTCGTAAAATTGGTGGACGACAACTTGCTATCAGGCTCACAGAAACGCGAGGAGGTGCAATGATGTTGCAAAATTTTGATCTTCGGCATCTATGTTCCTAGTCGTTTCTGCAATCCTGGCACATTTTCATAGGTTTCTGAATATCGCACTGTTGACCACAGCTTCTTCGAAAACTTGGTAGGTTGGAGAGTTGTTACCAGATTCACAGAGAACGCGAGGAGATATGTGAATTATACTCTGTTTATGCTATGAGATAATAACGAAATTCAAATCAATGGCATCGACACTTCTTGTCGTTTCTGCGATCCTGATACTGACTTATAGGTTTGTGAAGCTTGACTGTCGTCCAGACTTTTCTCGTAAAATTGGTGGATGACAACTTGCTATCAGGGTCACAGAAACGCGAGGAGGCATGTGCCTGTGCAATGATGTTGCTGCAAAATTTTAATCTTTGGCGTCTATGTTCCTAGTCGTTTCTGCAATCCTGGCACATATTCATAGGTTTCTCAGTATCGCACTGTTGACCACAGCTTCTTTGAAAAATTGGTAGGTTGGAGAGTTGTTACCAGGTTCACAGAGAACGCGAGGAGATATGTGAATTATACTCTGCTTATGCTATGATGTTGGTGCGAAATTTTGATGTTTGGCACCTATGCTATCCTGATACAGATCTACAAGTTTCTGAAAATCGTACTGTCAATCAGACTCTTATCGTAAAATTGATAAACGGTGGCTTGCTATCAGGACCACAGAAACGCGACGAAATATGTGAAGAATACTGAGCTCTAACTAAGGTACTCGCGTGAAATGTGGATCCTTGGCATCTACCTCCTGGTCGTTTCTTTGATCCTGATGCAGATATTTATTTCTCAAGGTCGCACTGTCGACCAGGCTTTCTTAGTAAAATTGATAGATTGTAGACTGGTTATCAGGTTCACAGAAATGCGGGGAGGTACGCAAATGGTACCCTGCTCATGATATGAGATAAGCATGAAATTCAAACCAACTCCAATACCTCTTACCGTTTCTGAATTCCGAAAGTCGGACCGTCATCCACACTTGTCTCGTAAAATTATTGGACCATGTCTTGTTATCAGGATCTCAGAATCGCGAGGAGGTAATTGAATAGTGATGTGCTCTACCTACAATACTCGCGCGAATTTGGATCTTTGCAATCTTAGGTTTCTGAAAATCACACTATCCAGACTTCTTGTAAAATTGGTGGACGCTGCCTTCAAACTTTCTCTCAACGCTGTTACAGGCAAACTAATCCGGATATATTTTGGATGTTTATTTTAATAAAAAATACCACGAGATCCATTTTGAGCGGATATATGGGTTAAGGTCACGTTTGTAAACAAGAAAAACATTTTTTTCTCAATTATTTCTATTGATTATGGAAGCGTTTGCAAAACTGCTTCACAGGCATTTTTGCACTTTCTAATGCTTTTATTGAATGCAATATCTGCTTTACGTATATAAATGTACCTTAGAGGCTTTATGTGTGGTGATTGTGTCATAGAAACACCGGAGTATATATTATTTTTTGTAATTACCGTTTTTTGAGTGATTGTGGCACGAGACCTTTGTTCTTTTAGTTCCGATATGACAACCTCAAATGAGTTACGTCACAATGATGCCCGAGAATAAAAATGGACTGTTTGAATAGCAGTAATAAAATACCACCCTATTGTCTGACAACGTAAAAGCCTACTGTTTGTCATATGTCGACATTACGCAAACATCAATTAATATCTCTCATGTGTTTGTTCGGGAACCCCTACGTTAAATATGTTTTATGACGATTTGACAAAGATATGAAAATATGCTATAGTTGTCCTATAAAAAAACGATACATCTAAAACTAATGTGTTGATTTTGTTCCTGGTAGCGCGTCATGGTCGTAGATTAGTCCAAAAGGTGATGATTACGGGAGTCGAAGGTAGAATGTTTTTTCAAGAATAACACAATTTCAATCTTCCATTAATCAAATACCTACACCGTTTTTACCGTCTCCTGGAAAATTGGAAGTGTTTTTTGAAGTGACCAATTGATTTATATTTCATATAAATCGGACATAGTGACATCCAAGATAAGGATCATATGCATGTCGGTTTACCTGTTACTATTATGCCTTTCTCGATGTATGGATATCTAAAACTCTATTCTCAACTATACGTAAAACAGAGTACACATCGACGTTTCAGTGTAAACCTCAATTACGTCGTAGTAGTTCCATAAATATATACATTCATTTAACTCCACCTCATTACCCCGGCTGTTTAGGTAGCTCTTTTGTACCGCTTTCCCATTACAAGTCGTGTTTTGAGGCAGCCTCTGGCACGTCGGCTGTTAGATATAAGGAACACTTAATTGATTGATGTCGCTTGCCACATAGACGTAGGTATGTGAATATTGCATGAAGCTGCTATCCAGCTGCTGCTTTTCAGTGTGACAAGCGATCTACCCTCCTGAGATACTGCGCGTTTGGAACGTATTCATCAACGCTGCCGTTCCAGATTCTGCGGTATAATAGTTTCCGTTAGGGTATGCAAGAATTAGTTAGTTAGTTTGATATTTTGGATGGATTTACGTCACGATGGCGGGATATAAGTACGCCTACTAACGAAAGGTCAGCCCACTCATCGAGGCTAGAAATTACCGCAACATCGGCTTTTAATTATACAGCGTTGCAAAATTAGCGCAAGTGTCCTTTGGAAGGCCGTCGAGACTTTTTGGCCCAATTTTGGTACGATCAAAAGGAGGAGGCACAAACCTTACGGAAATCTGTCGCCGGTGAATCTTGCTAAACTTTGGGAATCCCCAGAACATCCTGATCAAATGTTCTTAGGAGTCCTCAAGAAGTCTGTGAACTGTTTCCATGATATACAGGGTGTCCCAATTTTACTCCACATCAAAAACATTTGTTTTAAATTGTATATTGAGTAATTTTAAGACAAAAAGTTAATATAAACAGAGGTCTAGAAATTTTTCGTTCTCGAGATACAGAGTGTTGAAATTTAAAAAAAAAGTTTTTTCGTCAATATCTTGAATATCCTTTATCTAATTTCTTTGTAATCTGGCGGTGGTATTTGTAACATTGTAGAGCTTATTTAGCCATATATTAAATTTATCAACCACAGCGGCGTCTTGAGCGGGCTCTGAACGAATATTTGATAAATGTATTGTTGTGCAATTTTTATTATCTTCACTTGATTAGGCAAATAAGAATACAACTTTTTTCTCTCTTTTAATATCTCAAATATTAAAAATAGATTATCATTTAGTTACCAAGAAATAATTTATTCCCCATAAGTACGAAAATGTGCACTTAGCCAAAAACGATTTGGACAGACCGTTTTGCTCTTGATTTACATTGCGGATGGTTCGAAGCAGGAAATTGCTGACAGCACGGTTAAATTGCTGGTTAGCTGAGCTGTTTTTCATTCCGGCAGCGTCTTTGGTGAAACATCAGTTTCAGCATATCCGGGATTTGGGTCTGATGTTGCAGAGGATCCCTTTCTATGTCCTAAAAAGGAAAAGGACATTCATAAATAACCTGCGGCCGAGCTGGGAATGGACACGAAGGATAGGCAGACGCATATAGGGAAAGCAGGGTCTTAACCGCTACCCACTGGCCGCATATTATAACTCCAGGGTTATTAAAACGGTGTGCGGCTATCTTTCATCCGCTATCTCCGCACTACACTCAAGTACCTTCGTTTCATACGAACCGTAACCGCTACGTTATCCAGTCGTCGTTTTTTTCATGCACAAGGAATTTTTTATTTGAAAAACGAATTTACCATTGGAAACGATCTTTAAGCTACTTTTCTACATAGTCGCCATTTTTTTCTACCCACATTTCTTAGACTTAAAATGCACTTTTGCAAGGAAGTCCTCTCTCAGCCCGTTTAGAAACTGGGTAACTGCTTCTTGCACCTCCTCGTCCGCCTCGAAGCGCCTAGGTGGGACAGTTTGAAGCAGTGATTTCAAAAATTTTCAAAATATTTCTACTAAGAAACTAGAATAGTGTAACGCTCACGTATAGGTGAGACCTTGGTCGGCGTCCTGGACTGTTGAACGCTAAAATGTTTCTCGTCTCGTCGCTAGGGACATAAATATCTGACCAGATGGTGGAACGAAGCAGTCACAGTCGAACCGGTGGACAGCGTACGCGGAATCAAGATGGAATAATAGTCCAGTAGACTTTACAATTTTAGTAATTAATTAGACTTTGAACAATAGAACGGCGTCTGCGTTACACCACCAAGTGAGATTCTGGTAATAGATACCACTATTTCCGATATACCTTATTTCTGTTGGTGTTCATACAAGATTGTGTGATTGTAGGAAAAGAAGGGAGTCTTCGGCAGACTCCGGCATCCGCAGCATGGGTTCAAAATCACGTCGGGATTCCCATCACACCACCATTTCTGATCTGAAATCGGAGGTGGCCAGGCTGTGGGGCAGGAGAGAAAGCGTCGTTGCCAGTACCGCCACTTCGGCGGGAGCCACGCCGCAGGTAAGCAGTTATTTATTCATCGGGGATTGTTGGAGTTTATGAATTCCCTTTGACTAACTTCGTTGTATAAAACGTGTCAGCATAAAGCTACGCAGCTATGGATAATGCTCATGTTTTATAGTAAAGAGTAATCTTCCGGATTCAGTTGAAACAAGTCACGTCAGTAGAACAGCTTTTTCTAATGAACATAAAGCTATAGCGTTCTTTGTTGCATTCAAATCGTACTGTCGGTTCAAAAAATCTCTAAGAAAACGTGTTTTAAAAAGAAAACTTTGGAGCACTTTTGCTCATGTCTTGTCTTAAAATACACGGTACTTCTATATCCACGAAATATTGAGACCCTGAATATGAAACTAGACTCAACCAGGTAGCTGCATTTATGTTGATCTACGAATTTCAGATAATAAGTCCGAGTGCTCCCCAGCCTCCAGCTCAAGCCCAACCCCAGTCTCAATACCATCGCAGAGATAGTGGGGATTCAGGAAGAAGTGGTAGGAGAGATTCAGTCAGCCATTCGCATCATGCTTCAAGGTATAGCAAAACATTGAACAACTACTTCAAATTTATAACTTAAAAGTTAGTCTTAAAAATCTTTTTTGCCAATATAAGACTAGTACTTAATAAAATAAAACAATTTGCGAACGAACAGTTTTAATAATGACATCATTAAGTACAAAACGCTACATTTCCTCCAATTTAGCTACCGCCTATTTTATTTTATCTTCAACATAATCGTCTACTACCTGTGCGTCTTTATCGATAACATCTCTTTATGTTTGTTTCAAACACGAAATATACCGATTGCAGCGGCATAAAAAAGGCAATTAAGGAAAGTTTAGTAATTCCGAAGCACCTCCCCCCATGCCAATAATCATAAAATCTCCTTGACACGCAGCCTCGCTGGGGATGAAATGGAAATGTTACAGCTTATATAAAATTACACAGCATCGTCAGTTTCGACGATATTCTCGCTGAAACAACACAACAGCATGGCACGTTTTCGTCTCTCTTCCGTCACTCTTGACTTGATAGAACGGGAGACGGTAGCTTCCTATCGCAAAAAAGTCACACCCAGGGGCACGGAAGCTTACAACCGCATGAAAGTCACGCCTGTGTCCATGATCAAGGAAACGGTAGCTTCTTACCACATAAAAGTCACACCAATGTCCATAACCAGGCGAACGGTAGCTTCCTACCGCATGGAAGTCACGACTGATATATGTAAATACCTCGCACGGGGGAACGGTAGCTTCCTACCGCATAAAAGTAACACCAATGTCCATAACCAGGCGAACGGTAGCTTCCTACCGCATGGAAGTTATGCCTGATATGGAAATACGTCGTACGGGGGAACCATAGCTTCCTACCGCATGGAAGTCACGCCTGATGTGTAAATATCTCGCACGGGGGAACGGTAGCTTCCTACCGCATGGAAGTCACGCCTGTCCATGATCATGGAAACGGTAGGTTCCTACCGCATGGAAGTCACGCCTTATATGAAAGTACCTCGCACGGGCGAACAATAGCTTCCTACCGCATGGAAGTCACGCCTGATATGTAAATTCTTCGCACGGGGGAACGGTAGCTTCCTACCGCATGGAAGTCACGCCTGTGTCCATGATCGTGGAAACGGTAGGTTCCTACTGCGTGGAAGTCACGCCTGATATGGAAATACCTCGCAGGAAAGTCACGCTCGTGTCCATGATTAAGGAAACTGTAGCTTCCTACCGCATGGAAGTCACGCCTGATATGGAAATACCTCGCACGGGGGAACGATAGCTTCCTACCGCATGGAAGTCACGCCTGATATGGAAATACCTCGCAGGAAAGTCACGCTCGTGTCCATGATTAAGGAAACTCTGGCTTCCTACCGCATGGAAGTCACGCCTGATATGGAAATACCTCGCACGGGGGAACGATAGCTTCCTACCGCATGGAAGTCACGCCTGATATGTAAATTCCTCGCACGGGGGAACAGTAGCTTCCTACCGCGTGGAAGTCACGCCTGTGTCCATGATCGTGGAAACGGTAGGTTCCTACTGCGTGGAAGTCGCGCCTGATATGGAAATACTTCGCACGAAAGTCACGCCCGTGCCAATGATTAAGGAAACTGTAGCTTCCTACCGCATGGAAGTCACGCCCTTGGTTTTGCGAACACGCGTGAAGTGCCGTAAGTGATTGTTCAAAAGTTTTTGCCAGCAGTGCCTTTCTTAGCATTCCAAGTGTCAACTGAACCTGTTACAGGGTGTCTCATATGCAAAAAAGTGTTAAAGTTATTGAGTATGCTTACAGTTGGTTAATTTTTTTGATGCATTGTCCATGTGGCGTTAGATTTGTAAATTATCATATAATAATCTAATCGGTGGCAGAATTGCGCTGGAAATACGGAGTCGATCTACTTGTGGCCATTTTTGAGGAGTGGCGATGCTGTGTGGTATCGCATATGCTGGAAAAATATCGCAAACCGTGGGGGCTATATAAAAAAGATACGACAGGAAAGAAATGGTATGGAGGGAGACTATAGCTACGTGTCGGCCCCCAGAGGGTTACAAACGGTACCTGAACGTAGTTAAAGGACACTTAGGGCTAGAGATATATCGCTTTAGTGGACCTAGATACGAGTCCGGGGATTAGAAGCGGTTCGCTTTGTTTAAAGATACTGTAGGAACAGGTCACACAACTGGTCTTAGCGTCTCTTCAGTTTTACAACTCGGAATCCCCGGACTTTTCTTGTGGACTGTCTATCAGGATGAATGTTCTGTTGGAATAGAATGAAATGTAAGATGATCAGTTTGAATTTGCAAAAAAATATGAACGAAGTCCACATTAAACCCATTGAATCACATATAACTCGACAAGGACAATTGTAAACGACACTTTTGTACATAAAACCTAAAAAAGGGGTAGTTGTCTTTCACTTTTGAAAATGTGAAAATTAAATATTCATTCTTTCCTCGATATGATTTGCAGAAGAGGTTCTGGTGAGAGCGGCAGGAGCGGCAGAAGAGACTCAACATCTGGCATCACCCCACCTCCCCCGAAAATCGTAGCTGCCAAGAAGAAACGGAGGGACTCGAGAACCGCTCCAGAAACTCCATACTACAGGTAACGATGAGAAGTTCATTTCTTTTCGTACTTTTCAAACCGGCAGATGCCGACGGAATAAATTCAATAACGATAACGAAATTGACGCGGCCCCTACAGACAAGTTCGTCGAGGTTTTTTGATCAGCTTCGTAAAATATTCGAGTGCTTCTAAGTTATCCACTTTTGTTGGCAGAGCTTAAACATGCATATTAGCTTAGCCAGTCTCAAACGAACCAGGAGGTTTTTTATGATATTAACATCTGGCACGGCAAGAGAAATTTGTTAGATTTGCTTTGTACAAGGTGTGCGAAAAATAGACAAGATATTTTAGAGTGTGATTCGTTAAGACATATTAAAAAAAAGTTTCTATACACGGAAGTGCAGACTTTTCGGATTTTTATTAATATCTTGAAAAAATATTATTGGCAAAAAAAATCACGCTAAGGCCTTGCTTTTTTTGTAACTTTAATATTTGTTGTTTGATTAAGCATCTGAAAATACAGTTTGCTTTTGAGAAAAAAAAATTAAAGCCGTTTTATTAATTCATGCTAAAAAATCATAGATGCCTTGGGAAACAAAAAATCACTTCTGCATGGAGATTTGACATTTGAGCGCAGTCCAAACGTCAACCGAATCGAGTAAATATTGTTTAAGATATTAATAAAAAAAAAATCAAATTCATCATCCGGCATTTTAAAAACTCCGGACCAATGTTTATAGAAACTTTTTTCCATATTTTTTCAACAAAGAATCACCCTATAAAATATCTCCGTCTGTTTCTCGAAGACCCTGTACAATTTGATATGTAGAGGTCGAAGATTCATTGTACCTAAGTGACTACTATTTGATTTTTCCAACAAAGGCGTAGCAAGAATAGTCACACAACATTCCAAAATTGCGGTCACCGTTTCACTACCTTGATTTTTTTTGCTGCTGATCAACATTAGAAGTACGAGTATTACAAAAAAATGGTGTCTTCAACTTGTTTTTTTGACAACATAATGACTATACTTAAACCATGTTTTATCTTTGTTTTTCCTTACCTTCGTTAAAATGTTATCTATTATCTTATATCAAGATATCTGTCTTCCGTCGCCGCCCACGATTACCACGTCGAACGTGACTCCGCCCGCTACTTCCTCGACCACGCCTGCGATGACCAATGCGGCGACGCGACAGCCTCCGGTGGGCGGAGCTTCCGCATAACTGACCACGCCCACTTATGATCCGATACTCGTTTCCTTATTGATGTAAGACATCATTGCCAAACTGGATGTAACACTTCTAATGTCTCTGAGTATATTAATCAAATTCCATCCGCCGTCGCTAAACCATACATCATGAATGTGTCGTGCATTTTAAAACATCCGTTGCTTGTATGCACGTGTGCACCACACTGGCAAACAACTTTTTAATCAAATTGCCGGTAAAATGTTGTGCATTAATAATTGCATTATCAAACTGGGGCCGACGGCGGCGGCTTTTAGCACATTGACAGCGACATTGTTGTGTATAGAGATGCGAGGCGGAGGATAATTCCGGTTTTGATCGTAAAACAGGATACAGGATATTCGGGCTTCACGACTGCGGATTAAAGTTTCTAGTACATAGATGTGCACACCTGAGGAGTATCGATCGTAGTGCAAGGGTCCATACGGGAGTTAATCTCTATTATTAAGGCCTTGTTGAGCTTGATTTATTATATAATCATAACCTTTAACATTAGCACATCATTGAGGAACAGGTATTTCTTCGAGTACAGTTCCGATAGTTCAAATTTACTGGAATTCTGATTATAGATTCGTAATCAATGACTTAAACCTCACTATAAGCATTTTCAGACCGCGTAATAAAGATTTTTGTAAAACTTATGAGGGATCGACTGTAATGTAAGTCACAGGACGCCGAAACACTTTTGCCATAAACTGCTTACGAGGTTTTCGGTATTAGCTATTCTCGGACTGGAGATGAAAACTGCCAGAGAGATATGCAGAGTGGCTGAGTGCTTTTTACTCGTTCAAGGATTTTATGACAGGCAACAAAACGAGAAGTGTCCGAAATCATAGGGTTTTATGCTATTGTGTATGAGAAAAAGCCAGTAAAAAGTTGGGCATTATCCGCGCCCGTTTTGCGACATATATTCTCATGAAGGAGCTTAATTTTGGAATAGAGCTGATGCATTTCATAATTTCTGACACATCAGTACGTTGAGCTTATAGAATCAATGATGTATCTCACTTTGAAAGAACTTGAAGAAACTTCAGCGTCAAGAGATAAATATAGCTTTTATACAATCCATAGTCTTAACGATCATTAATCTAATATTCAGTTTAGTTCCCATCTCTTGTGTTACACTGTGAAAAGCTGCTTTATATACGCGAATTCTCTGACATGCTTTTAAGCTGTATATTGCTATAATGGAACAGGTTTAATACTATAAATAGTTGCGTGGCATTTGTCACCAATGGCAGCCATAATTGCACCAACGTAATTTAGTTTCACTTAAAATACTGTTATGTGATTTACACGAATCATCGAGAGCTTTCCTTAGAAACAAAGTGAGTCTTGCTCTCCAACATACCCATTCAAGCAATGTACCTAGAAGTACCTTAACTTTCCTAAAACGCATTTCTTGTGCAATAGAACATAGATCTATTCTTCACACCAACCATTTGTCTAGGCAAGAGCAACGTCCTAGTACGTCATCGACCGCATCCGATTCGGGCCCGCAACACCTCCCTTTTCCCTCCGTCTGCGTCGGCCAATCTACAGAAACGGGCACTCAACATATCGGTCTTCCGCCGCCGCCCACGATCATCACGTCGAGCGTAACCCCGCCCGCTACTTCCCCCACCACGCCTGCGATGACCAACGCGGCGGTGGGACAGCCCCCGGTGGGCGGGGCTCCCGCACAACCGACCACGCCGACTCATCATCCGATGCTGGCGTCCAGAAGAGACAGCACGACACAATGCGGTAGACTTGGTAGGTATCTACTATTGCTATAATAAGTTTCTTAATTAACCCTGTTATCGATATTATTCTTTTGACAGGTCGTCGTGATAGTCGTACAGCTTATGCGACCAGCCCCGAACGGAAGCACGGCAGGTTGCAACGCCAGAACACGGCGTACGACGAAAGCTGCCTGCCCCCAGGGGTTTGGAGCCGAAGAGGGTCGCAACCGTCAGGGGCGGCGTTGAGTCCAGACGGGGGGCAGCCACCAAGCGGGGGAGAAGGGGAGGGAGTCCATGGGGGCATGAGGAAGGCCAGGAGGGACTCGCTTAGTCCTGACTCGGCGGGGAGGGGCAGAAGGGATAGCAGGTAGGTTGAGAGATGAGGTCCTTCGATATGGATCATCTTTCTGTAAGTAGGAATTATAATACATTCGATACCAGTCCATGTATAGTATGAAAGGTTGTTTGCTGTCTGTCTCAAGGAGACCGTGGTTCACATATTCTAGAGCTTCATGACCTCGAAGTTCCTTAGCTTCAAGATAGATAGATAGATCCTAACCTATTTCATCACTTTTAGCTAGTATACTTTAAGAAGCTGAAATATCTATCATATAGGAAAGAAAGTACAATGGTAATTTGATGGTAAAATGTAATATCTAAATTTACGAGTAAATAATGAATCGTTTGTTAATAGATCCAGATTGAGTCCTGATAGACAAGGAGACAGGGAATTGAGTCCAGGAAGAAGAAGTAGAAGGGGCACATTGCGAAGGCAATCAACCAGCGTAGCTGGCAGGCACGGACACAGGTCGCCAGAGTCGTCTAGGTGAGACATTTATGGTATCCATTAAAATATAAACGAATTCAACAAATAACTCATCTTCATCCAGTACTGCAGCCATCAAATATGGTGTTCAAGAAAGCATCCAAGTCTAATGTACGACCAGGCTTTGTAAAAAAGTGAGTTAGCTGACGCTTATTTCACGAAAAAAAACTTTAAAAAAATTCGACCTGCATCTCAATAAACTAGTGAATCGGTGTCATTATATAATAGTCCCGTAATCGGTATATTCCGATTATTCAAAGACAGTTTGGTACAAGGAGGTTTCTTTAGTGCGAGATTATGCTAGTCACTATCAAACAAAACGAGGAATAAGAGAAAACGCGATGATGTTGAATCGTGTTGTGTGTTAAGTTAAGTCCCTAAGATAGTTTTAGTTGTTCTAGTCGCGATCCGTCTCCGTGCAACCGTGGCGGTGGTCCACCTCCGACGTCGGAAAACTACCACAGGCCGGCCGCCGTTAGAAGACAATCTACCACCGAGGAGATCCTCATCGCCAGAGGATTCCGCAGACAATCGACTACAGAAGAGATGATCAGGTAACATATACAGGAAGGTTAGAGGAATGTGCCTAAAGTCGAACACGCTCTTGTTATTGGCGTTGAAAGAGTATATGAAAAGGAACTAAAAGTATGTTTTGAAAGCGGGTGATATTCTCTCCATGTCCTCTAATTAGTTGAATAGAGAATAGTCGAGCCAATGAAATTAGATCAAGCATCTAAACAAACTAATTGCATGGGAATGATAAACCTCTAGGATCCCGTCATTACAGAATTCTACATCCATATTTTATACCTTGCGAATATGTTGGAATAATAATGGAAATTGCAGCATTGAACAACGACTTTTTCACTATCGAGACACATAATCATGAAGAAACAAGTAGTATGTGGCGCGAATTGCGCAGGCGCTCCATTATGACATAATAGATACTTGGAGTGCTATTTACACTTGGCAATTTTAAGAAAAATTTAAGGACGCAGAGAAAATGAGATCAGGGGTCCATTTCTTTGCCTTTTGTATTGTTTTCGCATCTCACTTTGTTTTCAAGAAGAAAGAATAAAAACCGTTTTATTGCATGTTACTGGACAAAATTGCTTGATTAATTTTTGCTAAAAGAATCACAAGTGCCTTGTAAACCAATTTTATTATTATTATTTATTTTGTAGCTTTGTACCTTGAAAACTCTGCATTTCCGGACCCATGTTCATAGAAACCC